AATAGAATAGAATAAAGTAACACATTTCGCTCGGTTTCCATCTCATCACCTCGCCTCACTTCGAACTTCTAGGCCCCACTCAGCGTTCAGCGCAAATGTAGCTCAGCATTGCGCAGTGCTTCTATTACACTTCACGCATGCAGCACGGCCGCCGATACCATTATGATTCCTACACCCACTCAAAGCCTTTTTTTACAATTTCTGGTATCTAAAATAAGAAAACGTCGTCGCATCTAGCCCTGAAACAGGCCACATTACTCTTCCTGCAAGAGAAGCACAACGGACGCCTTCACATTTACACGGGTGGCTTGGTGTCTTCAGTAAACTCTGCAGGGGCGGTAATTATTCCCGCGAGGCACATCACAATTAAACTCATGACATCGCATTTCACGTCGTCGACAGCTGCCGAATTCGCCGCCATACGTGCAGCTCTGGAGTTTATAGTGGAAGAACCTTCGGGAATTCGGTCATTCTTCTCAGACTCGAAGGCAGCTCTTCAATGTATTATGTCACCCTTTCGCCATGAACCTAATGAACAGTTGGAAGCTGAAATAAGGCTTCTTCATCACCAAGCAATCGAAAAACAGCACAGCATAGTGTATCAGTGGATACCAGGTCATTGCGGTATATATGGCAATGACCGCGTAGATGAGGCCGCTAGATCTGCACACGATGGTGCCCAATACACAGCCATCCCGTTCTCAAGAACCGACGCAGCTACAAGACTTCGCTCGCTTGCACGTGACCTCACACTGGTGCAGTGGAACTCAACAGACTTCGCGAACGCGCGCCTGCATAACTTGGATCCCGATCTGCAGCTTCGTCTTCCCTTAGGAATATCTCAAGCTGAGGAGACTCTTCTATGCCACCTGTGGCTTGGTGTTGCCTTCACGAACACATACTCCTATCTCATTGGAATGGCCAGCTTTTCTACATGCACTTACTGCAGCTACGAAGAAACCATCGCACACCTTCTGTGTGAGTGTACCCATTTCAACGCGCAAAAACAAGAACTCACTGCAGCTCTGGATAGACTGGACGATCGGCCTTTGTCGGAACAAAGGATTCTGGGTCACTGGGTGAGCCCATTCTCAGCCCAGAAGGCTTTGAAAGCTTTGCTGCGCTTGTTACAGACAACTGGCCTCAGAGACAGACTTTAGTGTCTCATACTCTTTGATGTTGCCTTTCCTCTGTCGCATTTTTTTTTTTTGTAATTTCTCTCTCTCTTCGCAACAGTTCTTTTTAACATCTTCTATTCCCCTCATCCTTTCCCCAGCACAGGGTAGCCAGCCGGTCTAAGAACTGGCTAACCTCCCTGTCTTTCCGCTTAAACTTTCTTCTTCCTCCTCCTCCTCCTCCTCCTCCTCCTCCTCGTCCTCCTCCTCCTTCTTCTAGAATAGAGGATACTTCTTTTGATACTAGTTTCATTCTGGATGGATGGGTGGATGGAATCTAATCCTGGGCCAGTTGTTTTTAGCGATAAAATGAGCTGGTAAACTTCATCTGTCGATGTGGGGAACAAATAGAAAGACCGGTCAACAACGCGGTACAGGAGTGTGTTGTATATCGTGCTCGCATAACGCTGGCTGTAGTACCTTAGGAGCTTGTCCTGGGTCCGTTCAGTGTTCGCTTTGAAAAATGCCTTGGCGTCAACTTCCACGAGCACATGTCATGGATTGGACAAGTAAACGCGGTTATGTTAAAATTGGTTAAGTGTGTAGGACTAATTAGCCGTCATCGACCCGTACTACCAACTACAATTATAAGATTACTATCTACAATAATAATAAATCAATCGCGAGCACGCGAATGATTTCCACTCGCTTCGAGAGTTGACCGGTCCACCTCGGCGGACCTGTGACTAGTTGTCGACCCGAAGGTCACGTGTTCGATCCCTGCCACTGTTGTCCCATTTCGATGAAGGTGAAATGATAGGGACTCATGTACTGTGTGATGTCAGTCCATTTAAAGAAGACCGGATTGTGAAAATTCCCAGAGTTCTCCACTACGGAATTCCCCTTAACCATTTCTTGGCTTTGGTTTTGACGTTAAACCCTAAATACTTTTCTTAGTTGAACCTTACAGCTTGCGTGGCATGTGGTCATGACGAATAATTTTATTATTACTATTCATAGTGCTGATTTTTCAAACAATTGCCCAGGTCGGTTTAGCTGAAGCTAAACAAAATTGCAAATTAGGCAGGCCGACTTTCTTTCGCTACTCTGTTCCAATGTGTTCATTAATATCCACGTTGCATAAACATTTGTACACAATGCTCGATCCCCGATTGCTTCGTGGTCTTACATGCACACTTGCACATCACAAAATATTGTCTTCATTAACTTGCCTGAACACGCGTTTTCTGTGTTACTTTCATTCTTTTTTTTTTCATTATACGGTAACCTTAGAAACGATGTAACGAGCCCTTTTTCGCTCTCCGAACTGTCCCGACCACTTGAAACTTTTGTGTAGAAAAGCAGCTTAAGACGGCTAAATATAAATGTATGTATTCATTGGGGCAGTTATTGCCGGTGTGTTAAACTGACGGGCGTCTATGCGTATATGCTTACATTTCAATACTACCGATCTAATTGCATAAACATTATGACATGCGTACGTGCTAAAGGCACACGCGCTACTATAGCGAAGGACATTTCTTTAACCGTACAAATCACTGCAACCGACAACCTGTCCTTGTCAAGCTGCACATGGTAACTCTTTCCTTCACGATGGCTTCTATCTTCCAAAACTAACGCGCCTCGCATCTAAACACTGTGCAATGCAGCGAAGCTTGCAGAGCCCCGGCACCGAATGGGGTTTTATCGCGATAGCAATTATATGGACACTTTCCGCTAAACTTCGCTGCTGGCGTCGGCATCGATATCATTCTTCGTGTATGTATACGTATCTATTTATAAGAAAACGCAAGAAAGAAAAAAATCCAGACAAAAATTGGCCCTGTTTCTGCATGTTACAATGCAAATGTCATCGAAAGACGATAGATAGTTTTGCGTCTGGAGAGAGTGAACAAAATGTTTATTTGATTTGCTCAAGAAATTTATGAATGGTATTCTGGAGGCGCTGCGTCAGAGTGCCTCGAGCGTGCACCGGAGGCGAACGAGCGCATCAGGTCACGTCACACGTTAGACATGAGCGCTGTCTGACAGCTATCCTGGAAAACGAAGCGCACGGCGTGCGTGCCCGTCTTGGGGGTAATTAGGTGTAGAACGCAAGGCGACGGGTTGGTGTCACCATGTCGTCTTAGTAAAGCATTGGAAACACTTGCCTTTTCGTGCAAGCGTTGCATTGTCAGTGCAACGTGATGAACGACGTGGTCCTTAAACCGGAAAATGTATGCATTTTCCGGTAATAACGCACACATACAAAATATTGACGTGTTGTTATGGCACCTCAGGTATGCGCGATAATCGCTTTTCTATTGACAATTGCCCAAGCATGAACGCTAAAACTTCAGCATTATTGGTGAGAGCAGAGGACTGGGTCCACCGTAAGCGGTATCACTTGGTGTAGTTTGGGGTACGGTTATTCATTTTTTTTTACAGGGGTGAAAGTACTTAGGGTGTGGGTCATTCTCTTTTGTTCTCCCTTGTGTATTAGTTGCAGTAGTAGTAGTAGTAGTAGTAGTAGTAGTAGTAGTAATAGTAGTAGTAGTAGTAGTAGTAGTAGTAGTAGTAGTAGTAGTAGTAGTAGTAGTAGCAGTAGTAGTATGTAGCCACCTCTAGTTTTTTGAATTGCTCAATAGATGACGTTGTGTGCATATGTTCTTGAAAATGATATGACTAGATCGCGTTAGTGTTTTTCATACAGTCAACGCACGGACAAAAAGAGACAGACAGACAGACAGACAGACAGACAGACAGACAGACAGACAGACAGACAGACAGACAGACAGACAGACAGACAGACGCTTCGCCCCGCTCATCATCACGCTGTCATTTTTTAACGTGAACGCACATTCCCCTGTGGGTAAGCCTCTACTATTCCCCCTCCCCCCATAGAAGTGCGGCCGCCGTAGCCGGGATCGAATCAGTAACCTTCGGCTCAGCAACCGAGCACTACAACCATGGCGGATACCAATAAACAAGAGCTACCACTTCAAAAACATAATGAAATAACGATAAGAACGCCACACTTTAGATGAATGAACATTGTATTAACAATTTCTGGTATTATAGTAATACGGCAAAGTAGTTCACGAGAGCTTCCTATTTCAAGACCATACAGTAAAAACTGCCTTCCCAAGTGCTCAATTGAGACCGTTTGCCATTATTAGCAAATTAAGAGTGGAATGCACAAGCAGATGATGGAATAATTCCATAAGCGTTTAGCCACGTCCCCTTATAGGCACTATTGCATCAGAGTCAAAGAGTGAATGATCCCCGAATGCCTCCCTCTCACCAAACTTTTCTGCCCACCTCGCAAGAAATTACGGTACACCATTTAAAACTGTAACCTCGTTTTTTTTTTATGTTTCGAGCTTAAAGAGCAAATGGTCGTTTGTTACAAACATGTTTATTTGCCAATAGTCTCTTTCTTGTTACTTCACGAACTTTTAACTTGCTGGTTTTGCTGCAACTTAAATGGTCTAACCTGTTCATGACTGCCTGCTCATTCACAAAAATGAAAACAAGGCTCTTTTTGCTGAGCTCCCATGAGGGAGAAAACTGGTCATGTCATTCCAGTTTCTGTGCAATTATGGAAAGCACGACACCCCTGTACCACCGTGGGGGCCGCAATACCTGTTAAACGGCCGCATTCAAATGCATGCCGCCTAAGCGCGTTGCCACATATCTTACGCAAAACGAGCCCCTCATGTCGTACCGGCTCATTGAGCTTACCTAACGTACCAGTATTTTATTCCGACTTTCTTTTTCACCGTTGTCTTTCTTTTTCTTGTGTGTTAAGCGTACTTCGCATTCTTAACGATGTACTTCGACAACGACATCAGAGTGGCGCTGTAAGTCGTTCCTGCACAGGCACACGCGTACATAAAAAAGATCACGGTCGTTGCATGCAACACTTTGCCTTCGTGCCTCTAAGTGTTGCGGCCAACTCCACGATGAAGACACCGACTGTCTACCTGCTTCTGCTGCTACTGATCGCTCTTGCGTGTGCCGAACCGCCAAACCTGAACTGCTGTATGTTTTCCATTCTATTTGACAATATATTTTCTAACGTACGCAACAGCTGTACCGTAGTTTGACAAGTATAGTCTGAGTGATGTTCTTCTACTTTATACTTGCAGCGCTGAGAAACGATGACAAGAACACACAAACGACACTGACTTTTTCCCTATTATCCTCCTTTCTTAGTGCTGCAACTACTCAGTATATATATATATATATATATATATATATATATATATATATATATATATATATATAGATAGATAGATAGATATATATATATATATATATATATATATATATATATATATATATATATATATATATATATATATAAATTAAAGTATGTATCAACTAGCCCATCAACGAATTCTTCTCGAAATACGAGTGATGTTTCACACTGAGCAATATCGACAGATTTTTCATAAACTCGTAGACATGTCGCAGAGTGATTGCACTAAGCCATAAAATAGGCATGCGATCAAACCTTCAGCCTTGAAGAGCAACACTAAGCCTGACGCGGTGGCGTTAGCGGTTGCGGTGCAAGGCTGCTGACCCAAGGATTCCTAGTTCAATCCCTATACTGCGGGAATCGTATTTCGATGAAGGTGAAAGGCTACAGGCCTGAATACTATGCGACGTCAGTGCGCCTTAAAGTTCACTGGATAGTCAAAATTTCCGGAGCCCACCACAGCAGCGTCTCTCATCACCCCATTGAGGTTTGGATGCGTAAAACTGCAGTTATTACAAAGAACAGCAAATGATAACGATTCATTTATTCAGGTGTCACGCTTACTAGACCAGTCCTCACTGGTGCGTTGGGTGTTATACTCCTGCTAATTGAACGTGTTTTATGAATAAGTTGCACTTGCAGAATGCGATGCTCAGTTGAATAAATCTGTGGAAGTGAGGCTCACTATTAAGCCTCTTGTTGAGCCTCAAACGTTAATTTATGATGAGCTACTGCGCAGGTAGTGAGACAAGTACGAGAAGACAGATGAACAAGGTGCTGATTAATAATAATTTTGTTTCCTTCACAAAGATGCATATACAGGCCGCATAGAAAAAAATACAACATGGAAACAGCATTCAGATCAACACGTAAATTGGATCGCAGCCACTAACCATTACCTACCAATGCTCTAATAAGGTCAAGTGTTTTTAGTGTTTTGGTGGTTACAACTTGCTTGTACAACGCAGGAGTTAAATCATCTTACCACCGCTCTAGTCGATTGCGTTCCGTGACCTGGTTTCAGTTTTTGCGTTTTTGGATGTTCTTTCCATGCTGTTGTGTTTCCGTCTTCAATGCCCCTTATATAGGCTTTTTCAGTTTATTTTACTAAGTATTAAAAAACAAGAACATTCACTACGCCTGCCCAGCTGGAAGCGGTATGCAGCAGGTAAGATTTTCTTTTTTTTTTTTCAATCCACCAAGCTTGGCTTTTAACAAAAATTGTTTAAATAACGTTTCAAATATTAGCTCTAGTGAGAAATTGTCAATACAAAAGCTGCAGCAATTGTTGGGAAGCGTCAGATTATTTTTTTCCAAGCTCAGATAACTGACCTGTCCAACTGTGGTCCATGCTTGCTCTGTAGTTCGTGATCTAAAAAGAAATATTGGGTGCAAGTCATGTACAACATCTTCTATAAGCGTCTTTTTTTAAGTTAATAAGTTAGGTCAAAGTGGTCTTTCACCATGATCGATCATAACAAACTCACCTGGCTCTTAATTTTTTTCTTTGCTAATATTGCTTCGATGTACCTATCCTCAAGCTAAGTGCTTGCGAACGCGGACACTGTTTGTTAGGGACAAGTGGTATCACTTGATTTGTAGTTACTATGATTGCAATGAATAAGTTCTAATTGCGTACGCCCATGACAGTAAATGTTTGCATTACAAAATTTGCTATAAACTTCAAAATATTTCTTATTCCATTCGAAAAAACTATGCACAACAATGTACAATATCCAGGTATCCCAGAAACTCATTGTCAGTTAGATTTCATTAATAAAACCACCCTTAAATTTACATTTCTTTGCTTCATTCATCGATGACCTCATTATCGCTGACAGTTTGCCTTCAGATGGTATGCGAAAGGTAATTTCTCATCTGCCACTTGAAATGAGATCAGGTGCTGCGTGAGGTCAACGGGCGAAAAAAATAGAGTTCCACACACGCTGTAATGGCTATAGTTGGTTACGTCGACTGGCACCCCTAGGTTTAAACACGAATTCGAAGGTTGCGGGTTTGGACCCTGCTGGTGGCAAGTTATCTTTTCGCGCATTTTTTTTTCTTCAGATTTACATTACAATCACTACTAACACATTGCCTTATACTTTCTTTGGCCACCAATGTTTGCTTAGTTCTTATTAATAATGACAACTTTATGCTAGATGGACTTACCCTAAACTGATGCTCACCGTCTAAGCTCTCTATGAAGTAGAATAGTCTGATAAAATGAAACTTTCTAGCACCGAACCTCTGCCGTGAAGCGTTTTCATAGCGAAGGTGGCAACAACTTTTGTTTAGTAATATATGAGGTGGTGTTACTCGTATCATGTTTATGAGCAAATTCTGGCGCTTCACGACGCCCAACCTTGGGCGTATAGTAAACTTAATATAAAGCCCAGATGAACCCCTTTCACGAATTGAGCTACAAATTCTATTTACGTGTCGCATGTGCATGCCTGGTTGACCACCTGGTAAGTTACGGCAGGTGTTAGATGAAAACCACGCTGCATTGAGTAATCTCATATACGAAAGAATTACACGAGCCTACAACGCTTAATTGTGCAGGGTTTATCCACTTCAAATTGATGGATTACTTCCCAATGATGTCGCACTGCGGGTATTGCTTCAGAGTGGGGCATGATTGACGAGCTTAATTGCATCATTTGGAGCGTGGCAATGTCCGCGTGAGCTACAAGCCCACTTTAAAAATACTTTATGTATTTATTAGAACTACTTAACAGGCCCCAAGACAGGCAGTGCGTAAGGGAAGCCTAAAAATGTTGCACTCTTTAAACAGCCCGTGCTTACACAAATACTTAAACTGTTGTTCATATCTACGCCACGGAGCTACAAATCAACGGCAGTTCTAACACATAGGCTGTAAAAGAAAACTAAACAAAAAAGCGTGCAAGATGTTACATGTCATTTCAAAGCACGCAGCTGTACAAACAAAAAATAGTTACCAATCATATACAATGTAGAATAAAAAAACAGATAAATATTATTCTGAAACAAAATCGGCCAAATCAAATTGATACAAGAACTACAAAAGCCACAATAAAATGCGCAAAAAGCATTAAAGTTGTGAAGAAACGGGAACCGCTCATTCGAAAATTGCGCGCTAAGGAAGTGAAAGAATATGGGAAGTCATTCCACTATTTAACCTAAACATGAACCTTAAAGAATAAGTGAAATTGAATGCAAACGCCAACCACGTGTATATATATATATATATATATAGGACTGCTATTGTGTTTCCGCGCGTGGTCACTCTATCTTCATGAAACATGTGTCGCGACTTCTTTTGAAGTTTTTGAATACTACAGACGTCGCATGTGACTGGTGTGATAATTGGCAATTGTGTTTGGGGTATGGTGCAGCGAGATAGAGTACCCGCACAATACGGCACGTAGAATAGCACAGAGGCCGCCGGCTTGTGCAGGCGTACTTCGCGCTATGCACAATTTTTATTTTAGGAGTCTGCTCGTGCTTATAGTTAAAAAAACAAAGGACATTAGATACAATTAGCAAAGAGAAAAGCGCGCGGGACAATCGCCTGCAAATTATGCAAGGCTAGATCCACCGGCTACCTACAACATCCTAACCTAACCTAATCTAACCTAACCACATGGGAGCACTTGTAACTTTACGAATGTAGGTAATGCCTAATGTTGAATTTCAATGGCGAATCACGAGCGCTGGGATGGATCGCAAATGGAGTATGCAGATCCGAGCGGGATTGCTCTCGCGAAATGTGCGATTGGAACGCGCGCGTCTCGACCGGAGCTCTTGGTGAGCGGAAATCTAGCGAGGGAGCACGAGAGGGTGCGAGGGAGTGCAAAGCGTTTTCCAGACACCCATCGGTGATTGGATATAAGGCGGGTGCACAGAATACGTACCATGAACTTCCGGTCGAGTCCGCCGATTTCCGCGGAGCAAGAATTCTTGCTCCACGGTGTAATCCATGATCTGATGTTGCTCTCAATCTGCCATTGGAACACATAATTCACGCTCCTAATCCGCCACTTGAATGTGATTGCTCCGCTCAGAGCAGAAAAACTTGATACGGATCTGCCATCGGAATTCAACATAAAATAACAAAGGCTCCCGTGTAGGAGCCAAAGCACATTTGTTTTTTCGTCAAAGTGTACGTCTAACGATGGTCCTGTTAAGAAGGTTATATAACCTCCTTGGGTCCTGTCCTGTGTGAACTCTTGTTTTTAATAATATCTTAATTTTATGCTGAAACCTTAAAATGATAATGAGAGACGCCGTAGTGAAGGGCTTGGCTCTTCTTCCCCGTGCATACGTTGTACCTAAAGTGTTATGTGATGTATTTATCCAGTTGGTGAACGGTTCGTCCTCATTTTATAGCAGGTGATATTAGGGTGGTAATAACGAGTGCATTGAAATATTTATCGACTCCTCCCCCCTTCTACTAACCCAATGTACGCGGTATATTTTGCGCCCTTCCCTTTAAGATACTAAGGGGCGGCCACCCCTCCGCCTCACCTCCCCATCTTGCACATGAATATGGGTGTGGGAGGTATGGAATTTGGATTGACGAAATCTTTTTTTTTTTCGCAGAAGTTCTCAAAGTGCTTGAAGCGAAGAAAGTACATATCACAGCCAGGAGAGCTGACAAAAACCTATTGTTTAACGCACTAGCGCTTTATTGGCCTCTTGCGCACAGTATGATTGTAGATCCTCTTTTTCAGCTACCGTACATCTCCTTGTACGAATGACGCATTGTCAGAGCTCACCGAGACAAAGACGCAGTGCATATTATGGTCACATTTAGTTTGGAGTGCGAATCAGCATGCGCTCTGTATTTTTGTTGAATCTGCTCTACTTGCATTTGGGGCTCATTTCCTTCCCTTCAGGTTCACAGGAGTGGAAGCCGCTTCGTAAAGCAACCACGCTTTATTAACGCAAAATTGTTTTATGCTGGGGTCAACCTGAGTTTCATTGACGTACTTCCGTCACGGAAATGACGTTGACAACTATATATAGCAAGATATTACAAAGCAAAAAAACAGAAGGCAAGCTTTTATCGCGCTGAATTGAACCAGCAACTTTCCCATTCTTGGCGCGCCGCTCTAACCATTGCGCCACGAATCGTACGATGCCAGGATTGCTGAAGACAAGCCATTGATGTAAACCATACACCCTTTGACAGTCCTCAGAGCTTCGAAACGTTAGCGCGTTTTCGTTATCGGTGGCGAGATGGAGCGCCCTAAAGGTCGTCGCCTCCACGATGCACCGCCTCCACGGAGCGTTGTCTCTCCTGCGTGCGCGCTTATCGGACTCGTGATTCAAGAGAGAACGACGGTCGCTTCGCACGCCGACGCCTTCACGAAAGGAACACGCTGCTGGCTCACGATGCAGGAAGAAGTGTGAAAGTTGTTCGCGCTTGTCCTGTGTACAGTTGTGCGCTCGTTTCCTCCGTCTTTCTTTCTCTTTGAACAGCGCGCTTTGAGTATCGAGCTGTGACCGCTGTTACTCTGCGCTCGTCCTGTGTATGCTGATTTCGCGTGTGCTTCCTGCTTAAGGTGTGCGCGGCAAGTCTCAAGCTGCTTGGTGTGCTTTACTTTTCAGTTTGCTGCTACAATCCACAATAAGCGTTGAACTACCTATGCAATGACACGTTTTACTTTCGAGCATTACTGATTCCTAATAGGGAGATTAGCGACGTTTTTTTTTTTTTTTAACTGAGCGCTCTCTTTATCAACTCCCTTGTTTTCTAGCTATGTTCCTCTTTTTTTTGGTCAAAATGCCATGTTTACGAAGGCAACAAATCGTGTCGCTTGGAAAACCATTTAAAGGGAAAAGGTCATTTCATTTTTCTCACAAAAAAAAACGTGCTCTTTCATGCCATGTTTTGTTTCATCGTTATGCTGAGCGCAATAAAAATAGCTGTAGTAAATTTCAGTGGCGTTTGCGATGACTTTTCGAAAGCTGAGTTTCAGTTGGATTATTAGACTTCTTTCCTGACCAACAAATTCGTATCCACAAAGAACGCTTCAAAGTGTCTGTTGCATGCACATTGCCTGATTTTGTTTCATCATAGTGGTTATTTGTGTTGTGTCATGTAATACAACCACCTTTATTGATCCTGGCTTCTTCTTGTCTTCCTATCACAATTCTTCCACAAGTGAGACCTTTGTTGCACACTTTTGACACTTCAATCTTTACTTTGCAGTTATTGACGACACAAAAGTCGACGCTGTTGTAGCCTGTGTGTTTCAGAGAGCCACCAAAGAGGTTCGTTTCTTCCCATAATTGAACTCGACTTCTTCTAAAGCCAACTGTTTTCAGGGCTTAAAATATAATGCTGACCAGCCTAACACAATGTTATATATGAGTTTATTCGCATCTCTAATTAGGGGATCCCACCAACCACAATTGCACATTGAATACAGCGGCCGTATTGCAGTTGCGGTTCCCTAAGATGAGAAGAAAAAGAAGAAAAAATAAATGCAAGGAATAGAGGGGAGAGAAATGCATGAGGCAGTAATGATGTTACCTTTACATGTCACTGTTGAAGTTCTCTAGCTTCTTTACGGACACTTTCTTACTTTTCTACTGCGGACAGTTTCTAACTACAGACGATTTCTTACGTGTTGCGATGTCAATAAATAGATCACATTTCAGGAAACTCTTCTCACCATGCACTGTTTCACGCACAAAAACAGAAACATGCAAATAAGAAAAACACAATCACGTACGGAAGGCACCACTACGTTTTTCTTGGTAGATAACTTTCTTCACGCTATTTATTCGTCACTCATACGGTTTTTTCAAACCTGCCAACCGCCCAGCGTTGTCAGGTTGAATGCTTCTCTACTTGCATATTTCACCCACAGTTTATAGAAGACACTCAAGTATTGCTCTGTGTTTTCGTGGTGATACAAAGAAATAGAGGAAATGATAAAGAGTTTATTTTGTCAAACTTATTTCTGCTTTTAGAAAATAATGTCACAAATACGTTTGCTTGCAGATTGCCATGAAAATAGACGGAGCCCGCATTGGACTTCAATGCCCCGACGTTGCTTGTGCTCTGCGAAAACTGTGCAGCAGAAATCGGGGAAGAATCGTAAGTTTCCCCAGGAAATGAAGGAGTCTCGAACAGTTGATATCTTTTAGTTGGTACGAATTCCAATTAACTTAAGTAATGCTGCTGCCAATACATCACATGTAGTGGCAAATGACTCCGGCAGCTGCATCATGTGTCGTTTATTCTTCTGCATTTCGTGTGATGTAACAAGGAACGAAAACGAAAAGAAAACGCGTACCATGTGGATCGTTTGACGTGATTGCGTGCTCTCTTCCGGTTAGGGTTCAGGGTAGTCTAATAAGACAACACTTTTGTTATGCTCCGAGGGGAACACAAAATCGCCCACCATGCATGTCTCCACAATGTGAACTATAATATCTACCAATATTATCAAAATATTCATTCATCACGATGACTCCTGGTTACGCATAACCAGCATTGCAAATAATTCAGTTTGGTGTACTTCACAGCCACTTAAAATTATACTGCACGCTTACCTGAAGTCATGCATACCACACATACCTAGAACCGATAAGGCAACTTCATAAAAGAACATTATGCTTTATAACCAAATCAGATTACATGACCAGCGTGCTAAGCCTCTTACGTAGCCTAAATAGCATGCAGTTCGGCACTCTGATTGATTATAACAGTGAACTTATGGTCAATTTTGTATTAACACCGATATCCCATTTGCTCATTGTTTTTTTTTTCTCGTTACGGAAGCCAGTAAGAGGTAAATGGAAACTATCTCACCAGCCAATGAAAGAAGTCCGCCGGATATTGAAAACTTGCAGCCAGTGTTGTTCGCACGTCGAATTACCCTCCACATAAACTAAAATCGAAGAACAATTGGTCCGTCATGCTAAAAACATTTTTAAGCAACACATAGACACCAAATGCTAGAAATAGCTATAATGAGTTCACTGCCACGTATAATCTTGTTGCATGTGTTAAACATTAAATGTTGTATATGTTCTCTCGCATATTGGTATGCTTATACAATTTTGTGTATGTATGAATATGAATAATTTTTTGTTCCCTTTGGTTATTAAGTTTTCTCATCTCTACATATATTATAATAAGTCTTTGAAGTGTCAAAATGTCAGTGAGTTGTTGTTTTTTTTTTCATGTTAACGTATTGCTTTCCTTTTTCATGTGCTCTTTTTATGAGCTATCTTGCATATTTTTATTTTGTTAAGTTTTCTTTGTTATACTTATGATCAGTTTGTAAGCTTTCTACCCACGTAAAGTATATGACTCATTGTTTTCATATGGGACTAGCTTTTTTTTACAATTACATTTGAAAGGATTCCAACTAGCCTTAGCTTAGGGAATAATAAGTGTTTATACGGCAATGTAATTTTTGTAAACTTCTTTGTGTAAACATATTCGTTTTAGCTCAATTCAACTGGAAAATATTCGAATAGAGGAATACCTGTTTCCCGTCTTTGTATAAAAAAAAACAATCTCACGGGTAGGTTCTCCACATAAAACCAATCGAAACGCTGTTTTAAATATGGTAGAGAGGCGATCCCTCACTTCTTATTCCTCTTTGCAGCCTGCCCACACCACCAATGCTTTCTACTCGGTAAGATCATCCTCATGTAATCTCTGCATGTGTAAACTCCATTTAAACAAGCACAAAGCTTATTTTTCAGTTTATTTGTCATTTCCTTGTTGAAGTATTTTCACCTACAATTTCCCCACAAATATTAACAACGATAGTGTTATACTCGCACATTATCCTTCAACACTGAGCATGAAAGCTTGAACAGTCACATATCGTGGTTCGCTGAGACACGTGAATTATTACAAAGTCATCAGGTAACAGGTCGTTCTCTGTGCCAGGTAGTTTGTGGTAAAATAACAGCTTAGCAACACATCTCAGCATTAACAAAGTCAAACTCTCAGTAAAAGATTAAAATATTTTCGCGCTTTCAATTGCATTTAGTATTGCTTTAGACGTTTGTTTATTATAGCCACATCATTCGACGCATTCACTCATTCTCAATTATAGTATGCAATGGTGAATGAGGCGTGTTGCGTTAATGACAGACGTCATGAAAAACAAAACATAAGAAATAGACACACATGTGATGATAGAAAGACCGATACGTGCGCGTTATAGAGAGCCTGTTTTTTTTTTTCTGTGAAAATTTTACGTACAGCGTTTTTGACGTATATGCAAGCAAGGACTTAAAAATGATGGTTAACCGCGACTGGACGAGACTATGTAAAACAAATTTCTTAACGCGGTATATATGTGCCTTCGTCCGCTGTGTTATCTGCTTACAGCGTTTCCTCTTTATTTTTTTCACAGCACAAGTCCCATCAACAACTATATCAGATATCTCAAACTCCCCCTTACTATAGGACTAGTCACAAAATTGAGCCTCCCGAAGGGCAGGGACAGTGAGAAAATCTGCGGAGGAGAGGAAAAAGGAAGTGTAGGCAAAATGTGAGCTAGCGCTGCCATTTTAAGGAATCGCACATCTAAGATAACAGTCATTTCCGAAGATTTGGCGTCAGGTTTCGAGAAACGCGTCGATACCGATTTCCCGATTGGCTGAAGTGTCGGCGCAGATTGTAAACCTTATTATCTTCTGTGTCATGGTTATTATTTAACACATAGTGAACGAATGATGTGCATCACAAAAAATTGTTTTATCCCCTTACGTGCGTGTCGCTCACGAACGTACTTATTAAAAAAATTCAGATATATTAAATGAAGACAATCATGCGAAGGTTGGGCCGCATGCCTTGAGATCCCCAAGCTCTAGTATTTTCCCTTCTGGGCAACGATATCTTGCGCACTAAGGTGTACTTCCAAGGCCAAACCACACTACCGATATTGAGCTGTTTGCCAGCAGTGGAGAAAAGCTCACTTGATATTCTGCCTAAATATTGTTATGGAGTGAAGTAAAGGAAGAGGAAGGACACAATCAGCTGACAGGCACGCGAGTGTGCCAATCAGCCATTGTGACTGTTGCCTGTGGTTGTTCCTCTGTGATTGCGTTTTGTACAGAAGTCACCGACCACGTAACATATTAGTGGGAGGTGCTGGGTAGCCATCAGGCAAAGAAGCTTCGCAGTGGACGTCGCATAGGTTTTCCGGCCATGGCCAATGCAGACCATGCGCGTCAGCGTCAGCGTCTCCGACGAACACGGCGTCGCAACCATACGTTTTCACGCCCCTTAAGGATCCCGGTACATTCTGCGGGACCAATGGCGTCGACGTTGACGATTGGTTGGCTATGTTCGAACAAGTTAGTGTGCCGAACAGATGGGATCCCACAGTTCAGTTGGCTAATGTGCTGTTTTAAGTGCGAATGCACTTCATGAGCGACCCTGAATCCGCCGTCCGCGGTGCGCCTCCTCCTCTCCCCTAGCAACGGCGCAAGGAGCGGAGAGGAGCGTCTGTAGCAAAAGCGTAGCGACGTCACACGCCACGTGATTGCGCGCGCTCCACCCTCCGCTGCCTGGCTGCGCGCGCCCGCGCAGCCTCGACTTGCTCGAGATTGGCAAGTCGTCATAAGTATGAATCCATCGCAGGCATCAGCCTCGACTGCGATACCTCCGACAACGAGTACAACGCAATCGAATGCGAGAATTGCAAGCATCGTTGAAGATGTTGCGCCGGTTGAAGACAAGGCAGCGCGGCGAAGGGCTCGCGATGCCAAGCGCAAGTGGGCGAAGCGGGCCGCGGACATAAACATCATTATAGTGCGAATTTACTTTCACATATACGCGCAAACTCACCAAGATTTCCCGAGAGGGTCTAATGGTTCCTGGGAATCGCAATGTGATCACACGGGGGAGTTTACGTTAACTAACTGGCGAATGCCAACGGATTTTAACTTTACTCCCCCTCATGGCATCACGCCGTGCATTCGCACTTAACCATGGTCCCCTCGGGGAAACGCTCGGGAGTTTTTTTTTTTTTTACTTCAGAGGCACGGCCAAGGTGTGGTAATAAAACAACGAAGAACTCACAATCTGGTACCAATGCAAAGAAAAGATGCGAGAGGTGTTTGGCGAAACCGCCAGTCGTCAGGTCGCTGCCAAAAAGGAATTAGCTTGCCATACCCAATCCCCTCCGAAATCATATCTCGCATAAGTTCAAGACTTGCTGGCCCTCTGCCGAATGGTCGAAAGTGACATCACAGAAGGTGACAAGGTGGGGCATGTCCTGAAAGGGATTGCTGGCGTGGCATTCAATCTCCTCATGTGCGAGGGCTCTTCCACCGTGGACGCGATCACCAAAGAGTCTCATCAGTTTGAGCAAGTGAAAAGTCGCCGCATTTTGCAAACATTCGCCCGACTTCCAAATATCGCTGCTACAGCGACTGGTGAGAACCAGTCCGCACCACAACGACCATCGCCACCGGGAGACCTGACAAGCATTGTTCGCCGCGAACTTGAAGCAATGCCACCCTCAGCGTTCAATCCGCGCAGTATCGCTACCACTCCTGTTACTGTTCCTCTTGTTCAAGCCATCGGGCGGCAGGAGTTAAAAAACATCGTAGTGCATTGCGTGTGCCAAGTCACCGCGCCCAGAGTCGGTGAACGTCTTTTCGCGATGCCCTGCTCTGACCAACGGTTTTCTCTACGTTCTCGCAACCTTGCCGAGTGGCGAACTGCAGATTAGCGCACTATATGTTTGAACTGCCACGGCGTTGGGCATATTGCTCGTTACTGCCGCAACACATTGTCCTCAGCAGCTCGTGATACGACCGATATGACCCGTTTCGACAGTACCGCCCGCATCTTTTCATTTGCCGAAGAGTCCAATGCCGTTGACCAATCTCGGAACACTGGGTACAGCCGCTGGCCTCCACCACGTCGGCACCAGTCTCGTTCGCCGCAAATACGTCGCCCATCGTCCCGTTCGCTGCAGCCACGGCACTTCTCGTCCCCCGTGGCTTCCGGCCGCATCATCTCGAAAAACTGAGAAATGCAGCCCCCGGAGGTGGTACTGCATTGACGACATCCGCAGCAAATCATCTCTCCGTTCCCACCAGACGAAGTGTAAAATACGTTGAAGTAGACAGCGTACCTGTACAAGCACTTGTAGACACCGGCGCAAGCATTTCGGTCATGAGTTCAAGCCTACGCACATGTTTAAAGAAAGTTCTGACACCAGCGGCTGCACGAATACTCCGTGTGGCCGATGGCAACACGCCGATGGTTCTTGGTCTGTGCACTGCCCGCTTAAGTATAAATGACCACACTACTACTGTAATTTTAGCCGTGATTGACCACAGCCCTTAAGACGTTATACTAGGCCTGAACTTCTTGTCGAATCATTCTGCTCCTATTGAGTGTGCTACCAGCGTTCTTCCGCTAGAGCTGCCTCAGATAGTCGCTGAACCCCACACCGCCCCACTGCGCCTGTGCTCTCTTCAAATTGTGCGACTGTCACCTCAGGCAGCCAACTACGTCGTTTTGATCGCACAGCCTCAGGTTCCCGATAGTCAATAGGTCCTCCTTCCTCTCACCGACATCTATCTGAGCCGCAACATCGCCAGTCCCCATACGCTTGTTATTGTCACTGACAACTGTACCTCGCTCCCACTTCTCAATTTCAGCTTGTGCCCTCAAGTGCTTACTCGTGGCATGTTCTTGGCTAGCGTATATAATGCTGATGAATTCGAAATAGTAGCTCTCAGCACCGAGATTGATTTACTTCAGTCTCCTGTAGCTAACAGCACCTGTTCTCTGCCAAATTGTTTGTCGAAGATGATTGCACCCGACCTCAATTCTGCGCAAGCCAATGACAACCATCGCCTTCTCGCGTCATATACCGACATTTTTTTTTTATTTCGACGACAAACATTTAGGGCAAACATCCGCCGTTCAGCACCGTATAAATACTGGTGACGCTAGACCTATTCGCCGATGCCCCTATTGTGTCTCCCACAATGAGCGCAGAGTTATCCAAGCGGAAGTTGACAAAATGCTGAACAAAGGTATCATAGAACCATGAAGTAGTCCTTGGGCCTCGCCTGTCGTCCTTGTGAAGAAAAAAGACGGTATCTGGCACTTCTTCGTTGACTATCGCCAACTCGACAAGATCACGCGAAAAGACGTATACCCGCTACCAATCATCGACGACGCGTTGGACTGCCTTCATAGCGCTACATACTTCTCGTCTGATCTTCGGTACGGCTACTGGCAGAATTCTGTCGATGAGATGGACCGCTAGAAGACGGCCTTCACTACACCGGATGAATTAAACCAGCTTAAGGTCATGCCTTCTGGACTATGTAACGCCCCTGCCACATTCGAATGAATGATGGACTCCTTCCTGCTGGGTAAAAGTGGTCTACCTGTCTCTGTTACCTAGGCGATGTGATAGTCTTTTAATCTACTTTCGATAGTCACCTGACCCGTCTCGCTGCAATTCTCAAAGCCCTCAGATCAGCAGGGCTACAACTGAACTCCAAGAAATGTCAATTTGGCCACCGTCAGGTTACCATTCTGGGCCATCTTGCAAGCACCGGTGGCGTCCAACCAGATCCCGAAAAAATCCACGCCGTCCGCAGCTTTCTGTTGCACCGTTCTACATCCGACGTCCGGAGCTTCATTGGCTTATGTTAGTACTTTCGTCGTTTTAAACTTCACCGACGTTGTCAGGCCACTCACAGATTTGCTGAAGAAGGATACCACATTCTCATGGGGCCCTGAGCAGGCTCGAGCGTTCACCACTCTCATAGGCTACCTTAATATGTCCCCATACCTGCCCACTTTAATCCTTCTGCTACCACAGAAGTTCGCACCGACGCGAGTGGCCACGGTATTGGCACTGTTCTTGCTCAGCGGCACCACGGCAGATAGTGCGTGATAGCTTACGCCAGTCGCCTGCTTTCTCCCTCTGAGAGGAATTATCCCATCACCGAGAGAGAGTGTTTAGCTTTAGTTGGGGCCGTCGCCAAATTCCGGCCGTATTTATATTCCGGCAACATTCTCCGTCGTTACGGACCACCTCGCCCTCTGCTAACTGACTTCTCTGAAGAACCCGACTGTACGTCTACATCACTGGGCTGTGAAGCTCCAGGAATTTTATTTTAGCGTCAGCACATGTCTGGCTGTTTGCACAAGGACGCAGACAGTCTCTCGTCATCCGGTGGATCCTCCTGACCCCGTCGCGACTGACCTGGAGAGCAGCGTAATGGCGTCTACTGACATCGGCGATATGCGTATTGAACAACGACAGGATGAGTCAGTGCGCACTATCATCGACGCCATCCAGTCTGACAGCCATGACGCTGAATCCCGTATGTTCGTGCTGCATGACGGCATCCTCTACCACTGCAACGTCAGCACTGAAGACCCTGAGTTTCTGCTTGTCTTTCCTCGGCATCTACGGCCTGCCATACCTGAACAACTTCACGACACACCAACAGTGGGACACCTTGGTGTTTCTCGCACATTCGACCGCGTACTAGGTCGGTTTTTCTGGCCAGGACTGTACCGCGGCGTGTGTCGATATGTCGCCACTTGCGACTTCTGCCAGCGTGGGAAAAACCCTTTGCTGTCAGCTAGATATCTTCACCCATCTAAGTTCCCTCTAAACCATTTCATCGCGTGCGACTCACCTTCTTAGCCCTTTTCCGACGACGACACTGGGAAATAAATGGATCGCCATCGCCACAGATTATGCGACCCGTTACGCGATAGCAAAAGCCATGCCAACCAGTTGCACCACTGACGTCGTGGTTGTTATTCTTCACGACGTCATCTTACACCATAGTGCACCCCAACAGCTGCTTACGGACCACGGCCGCTGTTTCTTCTCCAAAGTTGTCGACGACATCCTTCGACCATGTGCTACAGCGCATAAGCTATCTACCGCCTACCATATACAAACTAATGGGCTAACTGAACGTCTCAACCACACGATCACAGAGATTATTTCGATGTACGTCTCCGAAAATCATCATGACTGGGGCACCACGTAGGCCTATGTGACTTTCACATATAATTCCTCTCGACATGACACCACGGGATTCTCACCTTTTTGTCTTTTGTATGGTCGTGATCCCACATTGCCATTTGAAACCACCTTAACTCTCAAGCCATCTGCTTGCGAGTACGCTCGCGAAGCCATTGATCAGACTCACATGGCTCGTCAAATTGCCCAGTTTCGTCTCACCAGGTCACAGGATGTGCAAAACGCCCGCTACAACCACCGGCATCGTAATATAACGTTCGCCTCAGGTGACAGCGTGCTCCTCTGGTCACCGTGTCGCCGTGTAGGTCTCTCCGAAAAACTTTTCTCCCGATACGCAGGACCCTACCTACTCTTAAGTCAAGTTAGCGACGTCAACCACAAGATAGCGCCATGGCACTCCAGTACGTCACCAAGTTCTTCACTTGTTGATATTGTCCATGTTTCGTGCATGGAACCCTACTTCTGTCGCATTTCTCCGGACTCGCACTGAGATGGTGCTTTAACGACCAGAGGTCCTGTTACGGACATCAAGTAAAGGAAGAGGAAGCACACAATCAGCTGACAGGCGCGCGAGAGTGCCAATCAGTCATTGCGACTCTTGCCTGTAGTTTTTCCTCCGTAAATCCATTTTGAAGAGAAGTCACCGACCAAGTAACAATGTTTTGAAGCCTAGCAGAAATAAAGTACTAACCTGCGGCACCACCATAGTTATCACCATTTACTAGCGGCTTCTGTATACTCTGAAATATTGGGATGTTTCCGGTAGCAAAAAGCATAGAAACAGCTGTGCGTAACCTGACCTATCACACATGAGATACTTGGGACATTCATAATGAAGAATAACAGGAACTTTCGCGTGACACGTCCTTACCTTTGCACTTTGGGGGAAACAACGGCATCTCGGTAGTGTTTTTAATGCAGCCTCATGAGTGGCTTTAAGTGTTGTAGTTCTATTACACGGTGTCTGTCCGTAGGCTAGGGGAATGAGTATGCACACTATTTATTACCTTTACCGATCGAATGTTTTTAGCGACACCTGCGCAATGTCACTTTCAGCACCAGCGTAGTTTTGTATAGTGTCACTTCGCCTAAAATGGGCGAATTGTACTATCTAGTGGACCGTCAACCCTACTCAGACGTTGCGAAGTTTTACGAGGTCTATAAGAGCATATTTAAAGGCATACCACGTACATACAAAACTTGTATATGCCATGCAAAATAGAAACCTTCTAGGTGGCAGCATCTGTTGTCTGTCAGCAAATACCTCTCTACAGAAAGCTGAGAAGATCATGCTACACCTCTCACTAAAAATAAGCACTGCGGCAGTTCCTGTTATAAACGAGATAGAGGTTTTAATCCTTAGCACACGTAATTTGTGCTGCTTCGTTAACGATCAGTAGCGAAGGTGTTTTTGGAGAGCAGCTTCCTAGTGCATAGTGCGTTTGCCAGCATAACAGGCCTGTAATTCAAAGCTAATCTATAAGATTTTGTTTTCACGTTTAGGTGGAGGAAAAAGCAATCATTCGGGGACTTTTCGACACCTGCCGCATCCAGGTGTCCTGAAATATCGATTCAAGCCCAGCTGTCATTGTGCTGTCAAATGCAACGCAATAAATTGTGTTCATCATTGTATTTATGAATCCTCTATTTTTTCAATGCTAAGTAGCTAATTAGGAAGAAAATGGTGGTTTATTTGAAATACCGTGGCTCGGCTGTGTTTGGGCCTGCATTTGCTGGTGTGCATGTTTGCGTGAACACTTGCGTGCACGTACCCACTCAGCCAGAATGTGTGTGTTAGTGTGTGCGTGTGTGTGTATGTGTGTGTGCATGAGCTTGCGTGCCTGTGCCTAATACACACGCATAGGATTTCAGTTATAGCTTATTTTCTATACCTATTTTGTACGGGCCTAAATATAGTGCTATTGATCTGTCATGATCCAGCAGGCATGAGCTCCCCTTTTCAACACGTGCAGCTAAAAATAAGTCAGGCATAACACGATGGACATCAATGCTGCCACAGAAGAGAGCTGCCTGAGTAGATCCTATAATGACACCGTAATTCACTGTGGTGGCGTGCCACAAGTAAAGTACACTTGCGCAGTCTTACGTAGACTTTGCTAACAAGTATTAATGCATTATTATTCCTACATGCATCCATATTCACATCTTCAGCGACTACGCGCCTGTGTGCCTCGTGAAGAAGATGGGAACACGGGGTACCCCACAGGAAGCAGTGTTATCACCACTCCTTTTCAACATTGCTATGATGCGCCTTCCAAGCGAATTGGCCAGGGTGGAAGGCACACAACACGCAGTATATGCCGACAATATTACAATCTGGACCACTGAAGGGAGCCATGGTGAAATGCAGGAACGCCTTCAGCAGGCCGCATCCATAGTCGAGGCGTATGCCAACGGTTGTGGACTCCAATGTGCTCCAAACAAATCAGAGCTTCTGCACGTTAGAGTGAAGCCAAGAGATAAATCAGCCATACACATCTCCCTGTCTGGGGCTCCCATCAGAGAGGTGGAGGAGCTCCGGATTCTGGGCCTGTTCATTCACCACAGACTCAGACCGTACTCCACTATGGCGAAACTCAAGAGAATAGGCGAACAGGTAGGGCGCATGATCCATCGCGTTTCCAACAAGCGGGGTGGTCTGCGGGGCCGGGACGCACTTCGGCTCGCCCATGCCTTCGTGACTAGCCGGATCCTCTACGCCATCCCATACCTTCGCACTAACAAGCAAGAAGACGAAAGAATAGATGCCATCATTCGTAAGGCTACTAAACGAGCTCTGGATCTCCCGGTGGCCACTTCCAACGCCAACCTGAGGGCGTTAGGTGTACTCAACTCCTACCAGGAGTTGCGGGAGGCCCACCTTATGAATCAATATACGCGGCTCGTGCAGACGGCTCCCGGGCGCCGCCTGCTAAACCGCTTACATACACAGCACACTTGCACTGCAGAGGAGGCGGAGCGTATTCCGGAACTGTGACGGCATATGCTCTCGGTCTCTCCACTCCCCAGTAACATGGATAAGCACACGCACGAAAGCAGGAGACAGGCACGGGCTCGGACGCTTGAGAGGCAACACGGCTCTCGACCTGGTGTATTCTACGTAGATATAGCAGGGCCTTCACCCACGGGATTTTACACAGCCTCTGTAGTTCACCGGGAAAAGTATGTCAATGGGCTCTCGTTCCGAGCACAAAATCCAGAGCGCGCTGAGGAAGTCGCGATAGCGCTTGCTGCTGCGGACCCCAACTCGAAAGTTATCATCACGGACTCCCGGAAAGCATGGGCTCATACTTGGTAGGAGAGATATCCCCCCTAGCCAGCCAAATTCTAAAACGGGCTCTCGCTGATCCAGCCCCGAAACGCATCGTATGGGCTCCTGGCCATCAGGGCTTACGAGGTAATAAGGCCGCTGCGCGGCCACCCGAGCGCTTACGCACCGGGCTCCTCACCTTGGCTCTTATGACTCGGAGGCCAATACACCGCTGCTGCGGTTCCAAGAAATTCTGACCTATTATCGCGACACTCGCCACCTTTACCCGGCTCCTGCAAAGGGGCTGAGTAAGGCGGAAGAGCGAACTCTAAGGCGCCTGCAGACAGGTACTCTACTCTGTCCTGCAATCCTAAAACATTTCGATGCGAACACAGATGGGCGGTGCCCACACTGTGGGGAGACGTGTGATATCTTCCACATGGTATGGGCATGTCCGAAAAATCCCCACCTACCCCCTTCCCCTACCCCTTCCCGAGAGGCATGGGAGACTGCCCTCCTCAACTGCTCATCACTAGAGTCTCAACGGGCTCTGGTGAGACGGGCGCGAGTAGGGGCCTCGTCATGCAATGTCCCGGACTAAAGACGCAGACCATGTAGCGGGGTCATGCTTTGGCCCCGTACCTCTCTCTTTTATAATAAATGTTTTTCATCATCATCATCGTGAAGAGGATGAAGCTCTGTCTTCGCTTGGTCGATGATCAACTGGTCACGCCGCAACCACTGGTTACAATATAGTTTATTTATAAACTCGTTGGTCCAGAGTTTCTTCTCTCACGTAATAATATGCAAGCAGCAATGATGTCTTGCTTTGTAGCATAAATTGCCATTCTCGGAGCCAGTTACTTGTCGCATCTTTTCACATAACCTATCGAAGAACTTGCAAAGAACATTAAGAAAACGGAGGTGCAAGACGACTAAAAAATTTAGCAATACATCGTGCAAGTTGTTCAACGCATGGCGTTCTTGTACAGATTGCACAACGTTCATTATACGGAAAGTGTCTCCATAAGTGTACAGGAAAGCACACCTGTACAGATAACATGAACCTTCTATTGAAGATGAATCAAGTGAGGAGAAAAGGACAAGCCGTGGTCCACTTGGCGAAGCCCACCGTCAACCTTTTCCTCATTCCCACTGATCTCATTATGATCCTAATGATAATAGTCGCGTGTCGTTTCCACACAATTTGCAACATTCCCCGCGCTACCACAGTGAGGCCTCACAATGAGAAATATCGCAGTTTCGGCAAACACTAAACACACAATACTGGTCACTAATTGTTTGAGGTCCAAGTTGATCCACGTGGAACAATCCATGTTGTCTCTTGCTCCTGGTCTTCCAGCGGTGCTTCCGACGCTTGTTCCACGCTCCTGATTGTGAACGCGTTCGCCATGATGGCTTTGGGATGTCGATGGTCAGTTTCCGTTCGCATGAACAACGATGATGCTGACTCTTATAGATGATGTTAGGTGCTTTGTGGCGCAACGGCCATTTGATGACCAAAGAGCGCCAATTCATCGGGCAAGAGATGTGAACAATTATTGTGATTAGAGGCTGTATAATCGCCTTTAAATTCCTCCCCATGACGCGGGTAAAACATAGAAGTAATCGAATCATGAACATGCCATGAAAAGTTTGTGTTGTGAATGGATGACAATAGTTTGTGATAATAGAAACCATGGTGGGCATGTATAGCATAAGCACTAGTGCCTCGATCGTTCACACCCTTGCGTCCAAGGGCCGTGAGGCAAGTGCTTTGCTGAGTGTAGCCACCGCAGCGGAGACCTCTCTAGAGACGGCGTGCTACGGAGTGTCCGGGTATATGATATAAAGCGTACGGACATCTTTTAAAAAAGCTAACAACGATTAATGCGTGAAAAGTGGTTCTCTACGACATACATTGCAGGATGTAGTGGTATCTGTTGTCGGTAGGGTAATGAAAAGTGTTGTCCTTTTAGCTCGTCTAATTTTTGCAGTGTATAAAATGTGAAGTACGGCGAGCGCTTCTCCACATCTGTCACACAAAGATGGATTGCCCCCAGATAAAAGAAATAAATGTGTTGTGCGTGTATGTCCGGTTCTTAACCTTCTAACGATTACTTCTGTGTGGCGTGATTTTGATACCGGCGGCCAATGACCAAGTTGTCACTTGATGACATGCAATTTATTACCTGTGTGTGTGTCTCATGTGCTCGGCCAATAACCCCTGAGCTTTCGTTTTAGAAAAGCTTTCAAGTCGAGAGCAGGAGTTGGCATCGAAGTGTCGATAGGGGTTTTGTTTGTTTATCCAGCTAGCTGGTCCACCATAACATTGTCTTGTATTTCGCGGTGTCCTGGCACCCCACAGACTATGACATGCTGCTTGGATGAGTAGACTGTGCATAAAAGCGAATAAAGCGAGACAAGGACAGGGTTTGGTATTTTTAGTTGTTTTCAGAGCTTTTACTACGCTTAGGGAATCTCTATTTATTATTGCCTTCTGTAGTTTCATTTGTTTATTGTGTTTACCAGCCTCAAGTATCGCATTAGCTTCGCCGGTAAAAATGCTGTATCAGGGTTCAGAACGCCGGCTGCCGAAAATTATGTACCGATGACTGCGAAATAGAGAGAAGTGTTAAGCTTTGAAGCATCCGTAAAGAACTCAGGACATGTGTATTTATGCTGTAGTTCAAGGAAGTATGTCTGGATAAGTGCAACTGGTGCATACTTTGTAACCTCCAACAAAAGACACGTCGCAATCTATCGCCTGCCACTGCCACAGTGGCAGGCATACTACGGGAGCCATCAAACGGTGCTTGAGTGGCACACTGGTTTCCTTCGCTAGGCCCCTCACAAGGAGTGAGTAGGGCTGTCTCATAGAAGACCGTTTTTCAAACACAGCAAGGCTTGACATGTCTTCGATTGTGGAATATGATGGGTGATCCTTGTCTGCGTTTACATCAAGGTAATATTTAAAAGACATGTAACATCTCTGTCGGTGGAGCGACCATTCGTTCAATTCCACGTACAGGCTCTCTACGGGGCTAGTGCGAAAACCACTCGTAGACTGGCGGATGCCTAGATGATGAACAGGATCAAGCATTTTAAGGGCAGTATGTGTCGCAGACAGATATACTATTGCCCCATAATCTGGGCGGGTATGTATGAGGCTTTCGTATAAATTCATTAAACAATTCTTGTCACTTCCTTATGTCGTACGTGACAATACTTTTAGGACACTTATGGCTTTTATGCACTTGATTTTTTAGGTATTTGATGTGTGGTATGAAGCTTAGCTTAGTGTCTAATATTAGGCCGACGAATTTAGGTTCAGTACAAAGAGCCAGACGTTGCCTATGCT